TTTTTTTTTCCAGTCCTGGAGTTTGAATGCAGGGCCTGTGCGCTGGCCCTAAGCTTCTTTTTTGCTCAAGACTACCACTGGAGCCATAGCTCCACTTCCAGGTTTTTTGGTAGTTTATTGGAGAAAAAAGTCCCACAGTCTGTCCTGCCCAGGCTAGCTTTGAACCATGAACCTTAGATCTTATCCTCCTGTGGTCAGAGGATTCTTAAATCTTGGACATATCAACTTAGTCTCAATGCCACCTTACAGCAGCACTCAGTGCCCCAGAGGAATTAGACTGTATCACTGAACCTTTTTGCCACACCCCTTGTAAAAGCCTGGTTTCTAAGGTTCTTTCCACCGGAAGTTATGACAGAAGGAAATGTGTGGGTGGGGAGGGGTAGTGGGTGAGAGGCCTAGGTTCCCGACACAGACTACACCCAGGAAAAGAATTGCAAACGCCATGTTGAAGCCATCACTGCTACTGAAACCCCTCTTACTCCTGCAGCTGCCTCTGCTGGGGGTGGGGCTGAACTCCACAGTCCTCAAGCCCAGTGGGAATGAAGACGCCACAGCTGGTGGGAAATCTGAGGCCAGAAGGGGGTTGGAGAGAGGGAAGCTATGGGGAGGGGTTGTAGAGAAATCTGGTCATTACAACAATGTGGGCAGAATTGGAGAAGAGAGGGAGGGCTAGGGGAAGGGTTCATTGCCTTATACTACTGTTCCTTCATTTCTGTTTTTAATTATATTTTAATATATATTATATACATATATATTTTTTTTTTTTTGGTGCTGGTCCTGAGGATTGAACTCATGGCCTGGGCACTGTCCCTGAGCTTCTTTTGCTCAAGGCTAGCACTCTACCACTAGAGCCACAGCTCCATTTCTGGATTTGTTTGGTGGTTAATTGGAAATGAGTCTCATGGACTTTTCTGCCATGGCTGGCTTCGAACCATGATCCTCAGCTCTAAGCCTCCTGAGTAGCTAGGATTACGGGTGTGACTCACTTGCATCAAGCTTATTTTTATTATCTTTGTTTTTTGTTATCTCTATTTATAAAAAGTGGTTACCTTTCATGCTCCTTCTTCTTTCTTTTTTTTTTTTCATGCTTCTTCTTCTGACAATCATTTTCTTCTATTTTCCTCTCCTACTTTATTCTCTCTCCAAGCTAGATCTCTCCTCGAATTCTATGGCTCCTGAATCCCTCAGTGTTTCCACCTTGCCTCTCCCAGAAGTTCAGTGCTTTGTGTTCAATGTGGAGTACATGAATTGCACTTGGAACAGCAGCTCTGAGCCCCAGCCTACCAACCTGACTCTGCATTATTTGTATGTGAAGGGAAGAGGGGGTTGCATAGGGAAGGAAATGAAATGGGGAGGTGAACCAGATGAGAGAAACAGCATGGGGACCAAGAAAGGTGTGTCTCCCAGACACCCCATTAGTTTCTCATGGGATAAATTATATGTCAGTTCGGACCAGGTGAGGCTAGGGAAGTTTACCCCATGATGCCTCTTCCTTCCAATCTGTCTCTAGGTACAAGAACTCTGATAATAATACCTTCCAGGAGTGTGGCCACTATTTGTTCGCAGAAGACATCACTTCTGGCTGTTGGTTTCAAAAAGAAGAAATCCATCTCTATGAAACATTTGTTGTTCGGCTCCAGGACCCTCAGAAACCCAAGAGATTGGTCACACGGAGGCTGGCACTGCAAAATCTGGGTAATCTGGAAATAAGTGGGAGGCCTGTGGGATGAAAGATGTGGTGTTCCCCCATTGTTGTACACGTGGAAATGGATGGGGAAAGGAGGAGGCATAAAAGGTGCTACCTTGAAGATTCCCACTTGTGTAGGCCAAGGGAATAACCACACATACACACATATTTCCAGTGATCCCTTGGGCTCCAGAGAATCTAACACTTCACGACCTGAGTGAATCTCAGCTGGAACTGAGGTGGGACAACAGATATTTTGATCACTGTTTACAACACTTGGTGCAGTACCAGAGTGACCAGGATCGTGGCTGGACTGTAAGTGATTTGGGGAAATGGATGTAGTAGCTAAGGCGAAGCAAGTAGGTGAAAGGATGCAGTCAGATAGGAGGACCTGATAGTTTCTCTTCTGTTCTCTGCCTCCCAGCTTCTCTGACCACCCCTCCCCCACTCCTTTGTCTATCATCACCAGAGTTTTCATTTAGGTTTTCCTGTCCAGATTCTTCCTGACACCAGACAGACAAGGAAACAAAAGAAAGCCATAAGGGGATGGTGGGGAGGGGAGGGGAATCACATGAGTAAAGGACTCAGTGTGGTTTGAGTGGTTGAGAGAGGAGGGGGAAAACTAACTGGGAGGAACCAGAACCAGTTTTCTTTCTTTCTTTCTTTCGTCAGTCGTGTGGCTTGAACTCTGGGCCTGGGCACTGTCCCTCAACTCTTCAGCGCAAGGCTAGCACTCTACCACTTGAGCCACAGCGCCACTTCTGGTTTTCTGAGTGGTTTATTGGAGATAAGAGTCTCATGGACTTTTCCTGCTTGGAGTTGCTTTGAACCACAATCCTGAGATCTCAGCCTCTTGAGTAGCTAGGATTACAGGCATGAGCCACTGGTGCCCGGCCAGAACCAGTTTTCTTCAGAACTGGAACAGAACCAGAACTTGGAAAAAGAAGATGATCTTGAATTGTAGGCAGGAATATTCTTTAATTTGTTCTTCTTTTTATAGACACTCACCTTTTCTTCGCCTTACTTTTGTTTCCAAGGAACAAATAGTGGATCGTAGACGGTACTTCTCCCTACCTAGTGTGGATGGGCAGAAATTGTATACATTCAGAGTTCGGAGCCGCTTTAACCCACTTTGTGGAAGTGCTCAGGTTTGGAGTGAATGGAGCCACCCAATCCACTGGGGAGGCAGTACTTCAAAAGGTAAAGCCAGTCAAATCCATGACTCCAATCACAACCCCCCCAATCAGCCTTTCCATCATCACTGTGTTTTGTTTTATTTCCCTATCCTAAGCCTCCACACTAGATGCCTAGCTCCCCTCCCTAGTCATCCTCTGAGAAGAAGGGTTGGGAGGGTGTGCTATCAGAGTCAGAGAGTAGATTGAGAAATAGGCCAAAGGGTTCTCAAGGGAGATATGGAATGTGTAGGCTTTCCCTGCAGCATTCCAGAGAACCTGCATGGTGAAGATGGCCTTGGAACTGGACTGACCTCTTTGATCCTATTCCTTCATCTGTAAAATATAGATAATATTTCTTCCTCTCAGAAGCTGTTGTAAAGATTATAAGTATAGGGAGTACGTTTAGCACGGTGCCTGGTGCCCACGTCGTAGAGGTATCACAAATGTAAGGTCCATTTTCCTTTCTTTTTTTTTCCTGTAGAGAATCCTTTGTGGTTTGCATTGAAAGCTTCACTTATCCCCCTTGGCTCTGTGGGAGTGATTATTTGCCTTTTCTTTGTGTATTTTTGGATGGAAAGGTGAGATTTCATGAGCCACCCCCAAATGAGGTGGGGTAGCTGGGGTTATTCCAGGGTTCCCAGAGATAGAGGGCAAGACAGAAAGGAATGAAGGATCACCCCCAAAGAGCATGGTGATGGGGGGAAGCCACTGACACAGAAAACAGGGAATTCCTTGGCTTCATATGGAACAGCTGGGAAGGGGGTAATGAAGGAATTTTAACCTATGTGATCTCCCTTTCTCCCCACTCAGGACAATGACTCGAATTCCCACTCTCAAGAACCTAGAGGATCTGGTTACTGAATACCATGGGAACTTTTCGGTGAGAACGTTGTCATAAGCATACTGCAGTCTGTAAACTGCCAACTGTTAGCCAGCAAGACAGTGTGTGTGTGTGTGTGTGTGTGTGTGTGTGTGTGTGTGTGTGTGTGTGTGTTGGGCAGGGGAAACAACTGAGTGAAGGAGGACAGGACCTGTATTGTAAGGATATGGCTAAATAAGTGTTGGATAGGCTAGGCAGACACACACACAGAAAAAATCGACTATAGATATGCAAAGCCCAGGGAAATAGTGGTATTAGGGCTCAGGAGTATGAGTGATCCTTCTATAATCATAATGCTTGCAGACAGTGTGAGAGATTCTTTGGCACAGAGCCTGAGTCTTTTGCTCCCTTTTTCCTAATTGACCTCTGACCTTGAGATATCTGTTTTTAGGCCTGGAGTGGTGTGTCTAAAGGACTGGCCGAGAGTCTGCAGCCAGACTACAGTGAACGGTTCTACCATGTCAGTGAGATCCCCCCAAAAGGAGGAGCCTTGGTGGAGGGGCCTGGGGGCTCCCCCTGCAGCCAACATAGCCACTACTGGCCCCCCTCCCATGTTATACCCTGAAGCCTGAGCTTCTATCTCCAGCTAGAACCCCAGGGTCATGTAGCCCTAAATTATATTAACTTCCCTTCACCCATCCTACCTCCCTCTCTGGCTAAATTTGATTTTTTTTGATGGTACTGGAGATTCAACCCAGAGCCTCCCACTTGAGCCATGTACCCAGCCCTTATTGTAAATTTTATACCCCAAATGTGATTGCACCTTAATTAGATATCACCCTACTTAGGTACTGTTCCTTTACTCTGTACAAGTTTCTCATCTCCCCCAGTCTAGCCCTTCCTTTTACAAGATTCTTTCTCCCTCCATCCCTTCATCGCCCTCTTCCACCTAACCCTGAATTTGGCCTACCCCCGATTGTTCCTGAATCATTAAGAAATAAAGTTGCTCTTGCTAATCATCAAGAATGTCTGTTGTGGGGGTGGGAGGCAGGGGAAAAGTGGGGTATCATTAGTGTGGGAGGCATTGTGAGGGTGGGGAAAAAAGAGCATTAGAGCCATGTTGTACAAGCTACTTTTTCTACATTTGTATTACAAATTAACTGACTAGAAGAGTAATGCTCTAGAAATTTATTTTTCTCCTGTTAGTTTCTGCATTCATTCCTGGAGTCAGGTTAGAGTTAGATTTGCCATTTTGCCCCGATTCCCAGCAAGTTTTTTAAACTTCAGCCTACTGCCTCTGTCCTTATCATTACTCCAACTTTCTACCACATACACCACTTCTGACTTCATAATGCTTCATATGCAGCCTCAGGCCCCACCCCTAGGGATGGTGGTTATCCACAACTGCCAATAAGTTTTCTTCTGGCTGCCCAGTCTGGGTTTCTTCAACCTATGAGATCCATCTGACCCTCCAGTCCCCAACCGGATGGGCCCCTTTGGTTGTTCAGGGCCTGTAGAAGACATTCCTTCCACATGACTCATCAGGGGGCTCTCTGAAGACGGAGATGATCTTGAAAAATATGTTCATAGTCATCAAACATGGAGGTGAGGAGCAGAATATAACTGGTATATGAGTATGGGCATGGGGAGGGCTGAGGCAGAGATGACACAGATGATGGAATACCTCATCCCTTCTCTTCTCAGATAATCAGGAATTTTTGGTCAACACCAATTGTTCTATCCTCCTGTTGCTCCATTATATTCGCACTAAAATGGGGTTGCGGAAAACAGGTGAGGAATTTGGGGGAGAGGATTAGTAACCAAGGGGGGAAAAAAACCAACCAGGGTCATCACCTCTTGTCTCCAAACCCTCCTTCTGATAAGAAGAGAGTTCCTTCCTCATATCTCTGAAGCTTTCTTCAACCCACCCTATGATCACTGGCCCTTTTTGCTCTCACTCTCTGTCCTTAACTGCCCCAATTATCCTGTGGCCTCCCTCTAGACACCATCGATTTGTGTGATGAATCAGGAACTTTGAAGCTGCTTTTCCTGTCGAAGACCCCTACAGAATATGCAAGCAAATTCCTTACAGTTCGAAACACCTACTACGTTTGTAAGGTGGAGCGTGGGGCTCCAGGTACAATATTGGGAATGTTTCCCAGAGACAGAACCAGGTCTCCAAGATGGGTCAGAAACATTGTTCTGTCTGTCTGTCTGTCTGTCTCTGTCTCTGTCTCTATCTCTACCTCTCTCTGTCTCTCTCTGTGATAGGACCTGAACTCAGGGCTTTGAACTCTCAATTGGCTTTTTCACTAATGGCTGGCACTCTACCACTTGAGCCACATCTCCAGTCTGGCATAAGCCACTGGTGCCCACATTGTTTTTAAAATGAGACTCTTTGCGGGCTCTTGTGGCTTATGCCTGTATTCCTAGCTACTCAGGAGGCTGAGATCTGAGGATCATGGTTTGAAGCCACCCGGGGCAAGAATGTCCATGAGACTCAGATATCCAATTAAACACTAAAAAAGTTGGAAGCGGAACTGTAGCTCAAGTTGTAGAACACTAGCTTTGAGCCAAAGAAGCTCAGAGACAGTGCCCAGACCCCAAGTTCAAGCCCCAGGATGGGCAAAAAAGAGAGAGATACTCTTCACTAGCACTCAGAAGACTGAGGCAGGAGGATCCTGAATTTGAGGATAGTCTATCCTATATAATGAAACAAACAAATTAACAAATCAAATAAGAAAACAAAACAATCCCCCCTCAGATGTATAAGTAAACTAGAGCACACTAAACCAGATATCCCAATTGTCTGTATCTAGTCAGTCTAATTTTGAAAGTACACTGCCTCTGGACTGAGGGCATAACTTAAGTGATAAGAGTACTTGTCTAACATGTTTGAGGCCCTGAGTTGCATCCCCAATACTGGAACAAAAAAAAAAAAAGCAAGAGACAAAGAAGAAAGAAAAGAAAGAGGAAAAAGGGCACTGCATCAATGAAAATGGATTAAGTTCATGAATCCTATGTCCCCCCTGGAGTCCATTATTCACCTTTGGGTTCAAAGTGAAGGGGAGGAAATAAGGTACACTAGCTCCAGGTAGTGTTTAGTTTTAAAAGCTCTGAAATCTTGGGCTTCAGTAGGGGGGAGTCTGGGTAACAAAGGGAGGACTGGGGATATCATACTGTTATGTTCACAGGAACCAGAATTGAGAATTCCTACAAAGTTGTTGTGCCTCTCCTGAAGCATCCGGAACTTGAGCTGCTTGGTAAGGAGTGTGATGGGGTAAGGAAGAACATGGAGAGTATTGTACATAGCTACATGATAGACAACACAGGCCAGTACTTGGGAGGCTAAGAAGGCAGGAGGATTGTGAATCTGATGTCAGTCTGGACTACCTAAAACAAGAGTATCTGAAAGAAAAACAGAATGGAAAAAAGGCAGGAATAAATCAAGAGAAATTAAGAAATTAAGAAAGGAAAGAATGAAACAAAATATAGGTAGGTGGAATCATGGAAGCCTTAGACAGTGAGGAGGGTCTAGGTCCACTGTGGGGAGGATGGGTAGTTTAAACCATGTGTCCCGATTTTTCTGCCATCTTCTCTGTATAGCCATAATTTCTTCCTAATGCCAAGTTACTCCAATTGATTGTTTGAAATATGGGAGGGTCAAGATGGGGAAGATGTCTCTTCCTCAGAGCACTGGGGGCCTCTTCCTGTTCTCAGAGGCTCTTCGAACACAATGTGACATACTGGAGAAGAGCCGATTAAAGATGCTTAGAGCCTTGGAAGCCAAGAAACTAGCTGCCGCTGAATCTTCCACAAACGTCTCAGGAAGACTTCTCAAAGGCAGCACATCCCAGCACTTTTCTCTCAGCCAGCAAAAGGTACCTCTACCGGGTTTCCCAGGCTACATTTTCTTACAGAATCCCACTTGTATACCCAAGATGTACCTCTAACCTTTTTGCTTCTTCCTTTGACATTTTTGAGATTATCCAAGCAGGATCTCTTTGTTAATTCACATACTTTCCCTTTCTAGTCCAAGATAGTGCGGACTGATGAAGATGGGACTCCTCTCCCACGTAGACCAATCCTTAAGAACAGATCAGACTTTGGCAGGAAGGATCGACATCGTTGAATTAATGAAGTGACCAAGTAAGTGCAGCAAGTTCAGATATGAAATTACATTTTAAAAACTGTCCAAGCTGGGCGCTGGTGGCTCATGCCTGTAATCCTAGCTATTCAGGAGGCTGAGATCTAAGGATCACAGTTCAAAGCCAGCCTGGGCAGAAAAGTCCGTGAGACTCTTATCTCCAATAAACCACTAGAAAACCGGAAGTAGCGCTGTGGCTCAAGTGGCAGAGTGCTAGCTAGCCTTGAGCTGAAGAGCTGAGGGACAGCACCCAAGCCCCGAGTTCAAGCCCCACAACCAACAACAAAGTTGTCCAAGCAGGACCTCTTTGTAAATTGATTTGCTTTCCCTTTCTAGTCCAAGATAGTGCGGGCTGATGAAAATGGGTCTCCTTTCCCACCCAGATCAATCCTTAAGACCAGAACAGACTTTGATAGGTTGGAGAGACTTCGCTAAGTTAATAAAGTGACCAAGTAAGAGCAGCAACTTCGGGTATGAAATTCTTGGAATTTAACATGAAGTTCCTTTTTTCCATTAAGACTCCTTCTCCCAAAATCCACACAAAGGCTCAAGTAGGCCCCAGGCACCAGGAAGGCTCTGGGTGAACAGGAGAACGACGACGGGACCAGGCTGAAGCCAGAACATGGGTAGGGGTGAGGCAAAGGCTGTGAAGTCTAGTACAATGAGCCTTTGAGGGCCAGAGTAGGGGGTGGGGTCTTCTCAAACCAGACTACCTCCCCTAGAGAGGCCTATCTAGCAGCCGCCTAACTCCTGCTGGGGTTAGGTGTCCCTCCCCCACCACACTCCACTACCTCCCAAGCTGAAATTCCCCGCCCTGCTACCTCGCTGCCTCAGGGCAGTCCCTCCCCAGCCGCCCTTCAACCAACTGCCCTTCGCCTTTCCTCCCCATCCTCCCCCTAAGCGGAGAGGGGCAGCAAGGCAGCAGAAACCAGAGCTGGTTATAGACATTTATTGAATTTATTCATTTATTGATTTGACACACTTCCCCACTCCAATCTAGCACATGATACAATCTGGGTAGGCCAGGCGCTGACACAGGAAATGATGGGAACCCACAGCAGGGGTGGGGGAGGGGACAATGCAAAGGGCACTGGGGGAGGGGCTGCCTCGGGGACTGGGGTGGAAGAGCCCCAGATGGCCTCCCTGGCAGGTGCTAGTAAACCTGATCCACATTCCCCCCATCCCTGCTCATTTCCCAGACCCTCAGCCAAAGCTCCCCACCTCCCCCTTCCCAGTTCTCCTCCTCCCCCCAACTGCCTGCCACCACACAGGCTTCCACATAACCTCTGTAGTCAGGGAAGGGGAAGAAGGGCAGAGACAGCTGTCAGGGGCCTGAACAGGGAGGTCTCTGTACCTAACTTTAATACTCTAAATCCTTTCCTCCTCTTCTTCCCTTCCCCCTCAGGCCCAGAGCTAATTCTAGGCCTTCAATGCACTCTTCCCTAGTAGCACTAACCTGCATTGGGTTATACAAGAATGTGGCTGCACCTCAATACCACACTTTTCTAGGCACAAATTGACAGAATGCGGGATATTGTCTTAGGGAAACTCCAACTCATTTATGCAAAGACCTTTTTCTAGACCTGGTCCAAATAGGAGCTCTTCCCCAAGTTCACTATTGCTTCCCACCTCTTCCCTCATGTCCCATCTCCCTTAATATAGTCTGTAGTGTTTGTATCACATCATTTAATTATGACAAAGCCTTCAGAAAAAGAAAATCTCTCCATCACTAACAACTTGCCACTTAAAAAAATCTTGATATTTGTGTTTATATTTCTTTAAAAGTTTATAAAAGCCTTTCCATTATCTGCAGCCTTCCAAAAGTAATTTGGCCAGGTGAGCTATTCCAGTGCTCAGACCTTGGCCCTTCTAAGGTCCCATATTCCCCCCAACCCACCCCCCCACTGGCCTAAGGGGCCACTGCATAAAAATCCCAGGCTCTACCTCGCCTGGCTCAGCTCAGATTATAACTCTACAGAAAGAAAGGAAAGAGAGAGAGAAAGAGAAAGAAAGAGAAAAAAAATAATCCTGCTCCTAAAGGCAGGGGTAAGGCCACTGGTGACTTCACATTTCCAACAGCATTGCTGGTTCCTGCTACAAAAGCCTAGGGGGTACAAATGGGGGAAGTAGAGAATGGCTCCTGAGAAAGGGCCATAATTACCCCCTAATTGGCACAGTGAGAATAACCCTCCTCCATTTCTCCCTCCCATATCCCTCCCTCCACACTTCCCATATGGTGCAGTTTATCTTTATAATTTTTTCAACACCTGTGTGTGTGTGTATGTGTGTGTGACCAGACCCCACCCTAGCTCTAATGCAGGGTCCCAAATTCCTGGGGAGGGCTCAAGGGAAAAAAAACTGCATATGGACACGCCTGGCTCCACCTATGAAGCAGAGGGCAAAGCTTCCCGCCGTGACTCAAGGATCTGTGGGAAGAAGAAATAGAGAACAAGGTAAGAGGAGATTCATATGGGACAGGCTCATGTCCCACCACCATCCAGAGTCACATCAAGAGAAACACAGCTTCCTTTCCTCCCTCCCCTCCCATTTCTGTGCTATCTAAGGCCTTATTTGGAAACTGGACTGCTTTAATGTGACATCCTCCCTTCAATTCTTCAGGAGTTCTGACCACCCCCTTGTTCTCTCTCCTAGGCTCAGATCATGGAATTAGGAGTGGATGTGGCTTTGGGAATGCTATAGTGATGGTGGTGGTGGGGCTGTTGTACCTGGCTCAAAGTTGAAATCTAGTCCTTCACCCCCATCCATGAGGTCACTGATGATGTTATCCATGTCACACTCCAGGTTCTCCATATACATATCGAGATCGAGATCTTGAGGCATTCGGTCTTGGCTTGCAGCTTCAGTAGGTGTGAGTAAAGGAGTTCCCAGGGCCTTGGGGATGGGAGCACCTGCCATGACTGGAGGTGGTGCCATCATAGAAAGGCTGGGAACCAGACTGCTGGGGCCTGGAGCCTCTAGGGGTTTGGGACATAGGCCAACTCCTGAGGCCATCTTGCTGGAGGAAGGCATACCCCCCAGCAACAGAAGTGTGGGAGCCTGGGATAGAATGGGATCAACCTGGGTCATGAGGACATCAGCAGGGGGTGGTGGTGTATCAGAGGTGAGCAGGGCCTCTAGAGACTGAGAGCCTGAGAAGCACCCTTCTGCTGACAGGGACCCCTCTGCTGGGCCAAAGAGAGAGGCGCCATAGGTATGTAAGGGGCCACTAACCCCAGGATGCTGCAAAGGGAAGCCAGAGAGACTGCTCCGAGACAGCAAGGAATGGGGGGATGTGAGATTGAGCCCATCCAGAAGCTCAAGATCTTCATTTAGTGTGGGAGGGAGGCCTCCTGCATAGCTGCTGACTGAAGCTGGCACTTCTTCTTCTGCTAGCACTTCAGACTCTGGCCTCATGGGAGACAGCCGGGTGCTGACGGTGCTAGCATTGGAACTGCTTCGTGGACGGAAGGTGGTCCACATGTCAGCTTCTTCACGATTTCGAGAGCAAGGACTACCTGACCACTTGGCAAAATGGCCCATGGGGCTCCTTGGAGTGGCACCTTCAGGTGGAACTGGTAGCACAGATGGTTTCTTCTTGGGGGCTTTGCTGCGGCCGCGGAGTAGCTTGCTACTGCTATCCATGGAAGCAGCCCGGCGGCGAGGTGCCTTGCCACTCTTGCCTCCCTCAGGGTTCAGCATCCACCAGGAGCTCTTGCCGGTGGCCTCATTGTGAACCTTGATGAACTTGCTGTGCAAGGACAGGTTGTGGCGGATAGAGTTCTAGAGAGGGCAGAAACAGCAGGAAAGGGGCATGAGGCAGGTATGTAAGAGAAGGTGACTTGCCAAAGTCTAAAGAGAGGCCAGGATACAGCAGGGGTATTCTTGGAAACTCAAAGGAAAGTCAACGGTGGTTCACACCTGTAAGTATAACTACTCAGGAGGCTGGAATCTGAGGATCAAGGTTCAAAGTCAGCCCAAGAAAATCTGTAAGACTCTTACTGCCAAAAAGCTGAACATGGAGCTCTGGCAGGGCCCAAGTAGTTAAAGTATCCATCTTGAGTGAAATAGCTAAGGGATGGTACCCAGGCCCTGTGTTCCAGCTCCAGTATGTGCACACGCACACACACACACACACACACACACACACACACACACACACACACACACACACACACACACACACACACACACACCCTCAGGGGTGGGGGGAGAGAAAGGGAAAAAAAGGGGGAGGGAAGAGACCATACTCAGTTCCCAGGAGAGCTTCTCCCAAATCCTGGGATGTATGGGCATGGAGAAACAGTACTCCTAACTCAGCATGAGCTACTGTTGATATGGGAATGAAAATGGTTGCATAGCTCTACTCCTTTCCTTGAGTGCAGGCTTGGGTGGAGATTATAGGACTGTGCTCGTATCAGCCCAGAATTGACCCCTGTCCTGAACCTCTTCTCTGAATAGGCTGAGGGGCTGGAGCCTTGTACAGCTTGTACTCCACTCCCCACTGGGCATTCAGGCAGCCCAACTAGCTCTCTGCAGAAGGTTCCTCCCCACCCCCATTCCCCACCTCTGCTGAATCCCAGTCTTATTTCTGCCAACAGGATACAAACCCTCCACACATTTCACGAGATACAATTTATCTCTCCCTTTCTTGCCTGAAGAAGATGTTCTCTCTCTAGATTCCACTAGAGACCAAGCTTAAATCCGACCTCTTTTGTATTGTAATTGCTTGTCTTGACAAATTTCTTTCTTTTTTTGGGGGGGTCTGGTCGTGGGGCCTGAACTCTGGTCCTGAGCGCTGTCCCTCAGCTCTTCAGCTCAAGGCTAGTGCTCTACCACTTGAGCTACAGCGCCACTTCCGGCTTTTTTCTTTTTGCTTATGTGGTGCTGAGGAATTGAACCCAGGGCCTCAGGCATGCAAGGCAAGCGCTCTATCACTGAGCCAACTTCCCAGCCCCTGTCTTGACAAATTTCTTGCACCGTATTTTCAATTGATTCTACATTAATTTTACCCAAGCTATGTGGTATGGTTTATAGTTCATATAGTTAGTCTCATTAAGTGTAAGCATGAAGGGAAAGGACAGTTCTATAGTCCCCAACAGTGCCCCCTTGGAGTAAGCCCACAGCACATCAAGCTTAAAGTGCATGATCAATATATGTTGCCTGATTGGTGGGTAGCCTAGGGTGACTATGCTGTGGCTCCATTTTGAGGCTCTGTCAGCTCTAGAGTGCTGTGGGTATTGCACCATTCCTCCTTCACTAGCCACACTAGGAATACCTTTTCTTCCAGGGACCCAGAGAAAAAGACAGATCAGCAAGCACTTCAACCTGTAGTGTGGATTATTTCCACTGCAGGCTGTAGGGTAGTTACACCAATTTTACCCATCTTCCTTTCCTTCCCTACTTCTTCTTCTTCTTTTTTTTTTTTTTTTGGTGGGTCGTGGGGCTTGAACTCTGGGCTTGGGTGCTGTCCCCCAGCTCTTCAGCTCAAAGCGAGCGCTCTACCTCTTGAGCCACAGCGCCACTTCTGGTTTTCTAGTGCTTTATTGGAGATAAGAGTGTCACGGACTTTCCTTGCCCGGGTGGCTTTGAACTGTGATCCTCAGATCTTAGCCTCCTGAGTAGTTAGGATTACAGACGTGAGCCACTGGCGCCCAGCCCCTTCCCTACTTCTTTCCCGGTACTTTCCTCCCATTTCTCAGGAATTTGTGCATAATCTCTCTACCTTTAGGGACATTTGATCCTCTACACAGATTGTTCTTTAGTTAAGAAACTAAGGGAGAGGCAAAAAGTGCTTGGAGCCAGTAATAGATTGAAACTCTGGACAGTCAGAAACAACTCGTGTCTCTGCATAGTGCTTTCAGATAAGCAGACCCTTTGCCTAGGGAGCATAGCTTGAGAAGCTACTTGTGCCCAGGCTATATAACTCTTTATCACCCTGATAAGGTTGCATCAATGCTTGTAGCTCCATCAAGAAATCACACTTGTCCATCGAGCTAAGTTCTTAGTAACTGACGACAGTTGAGGTGACTTCTGACACCATGAGTTTCCCCTTCCTTATTCTCAATCTTTGGGTCTACTGGCTTTCTTTTTTCTTTGTGGTACTTGGATGTGAAACCTAGGACTGAGCATGCTACACAAAAGCATGCCATCCAAGTGCTTTACCACTGAGCTCTACTCCCATTCACAACCTCTCTTCTTGAGGCTTTAGAGCAATCCAAGCCAGAGAGGTTGGCTCCCTAAGAACCTGCAGTTCTTAGGTGTTGGGGGGGGGGGTGTGCGGTTGGCTGCTAATTGTTCCCTAACACACCTAACCTAAGCTTTCTGGTTCTAAGTGAGTGCCGCCCCCTGGTGGGGTGGGAGTGATTTTGGCATAGCACCAGGGAAGCCAACTCAGGCATGAAACCTCTGGGAGAGGTGTGTGTATGTGGGGGGGGGGGGCGGCTTCACAAGTCCTAGACCCAGCTTCATTTATTTCTGCAATCATTTCATTGGATGTGCTCTCTTTAGATAAGTAAAATTTCTAGTGAGACCAGTTCAAGCCTTCATTCTAATAGGAGGCAGGTTTCCTAATCTTACTTTCTGTGCCTTACTTTCTTCATATCTAGATTGTGGAATCTTAGAATTGCTGTGGAGATTAATAAAATTAAGGCAATTTAGATGATTTCATAAATTACAAAGCCCCATGTAACTGTAAATCATAAAGAGGGGCCATACTCCCACAACATAACTAACAACTCCTAGTTATTTCTTCTGCCCTGGAAAATGAACCTAGGAAAAAAGAAAAACAGCTGGGTAGGCTGAGTCCGAGGAGTGGAGCTCTCTTTATGAGCTGAGACTGTGGCGTGGCAGTCTACCCAGAAATAGTGCCAAGGGTCTCAGCTGTCCTGTCTTATGTTCTGTCCAGCCCCTACACATACTGCAAATTTGATCCCTCAAATGCTGATACTTAAGAGGAAGACCCTCTGCTCATTCTGCCCTCAGCATTTTGTTGTATGCTAACCACACCACCCACCAAAGTACAAGGCATTCTTATGAGTTGAAGCTGCCTAATTTTGTCTTTAGTTATTGATTTCTCTTGACTGAGTTTTTCAGAGGATTTTTTTTTTTGGTTCTGTCGTGGGGCCTGAACTCTGGGCCTGGGCGCTGTCCCTCAGCTCTTCAGCTCAAGGCTAGCTAGCACTCTGCCACTTGAGCCACAACACCACTTCCAGCTTTTTTTTCCTTTTTGCTTATGTGGTGCTGAGGAATTGAACCCAGGGCCTCATGCATGCAAGGCAAGCGCTCTACCACTGAGTCACCTTCCCAGCCCCTTTCAGGGGATCTTGTAAGATCTTTTCCCACTTTTATTTGCAGAAGGCCAAGGAAACTCCCAACCTGTGTTCTAAAATGAAAGCCCTACCTCCTTTTTCACGAGTAATATTCCTCGAAAGTAAATCAAGACTCTTCCTCAAGGCTTGGATTGCTCTACAAGGGAGAGTCTCTTGGTAATTAAGAGGGTAAACGGAGACAGCCAGCCACAGCTCTTTTTCTCCATGATGCAAAAAATCAACTATTTTCCCTATGAACATCACTTAAAAAAAATCTTTTGCTTCCACCCTTCATCTTGGGTAGAAGAATTCTACACCAACCGTACCTCTACGCTGAGTTATTCGAAGGCAAGCAGCGAATCCAAGTAATCACACAGGAATGGGAGAAAAGGTGTTGGGGTGGGAGGTGGGGGAGGAGAAGCAGCTAGGTTCAAGCAAGGAATCCACAGCTCCTGCTGTGCGTAAGATAAAGACTTCTCTGTGGGACTAAGTGTTTGGGGAAGCCCAAGCCAAAGTGCTGGGAGTGCTGAGCAGTGAGCAGCAGAATTCGATTTTCTCTGGGACTGGGACAGTATCTTATTCATCTGCGATCCTCCAGCATCAAGCTCGAAGTGAGTGTGGCATATACTATGTACTAAGTAAATGTTTGCCTAACTGAAGATTGAAGGTGGATCTCTAAGGCTTCTCAAAGGAGTGAGGGCAATAAAGGGAGTCCTGGAGTAGAAGTATGGAGAGGGAGAAAGGGCCCAGATGTAGATGGTGTTGGGATGAAAGTAAGGGGGTCATTATTACCTTCCATCCTGCTGAGCTGTTGCTGTCACCCTTGTCCTTGAAGTAGGGCACAGTGCGGACCATCCACTCATAGATCTGGGCGAGTGTAAGCCGCTTCTCCGGGGCGCTTTCAATGGCTTGGCTGATGAGTTCTGCATATGACTGATTTCCCCAGGCATTCCGGCGGGAGCCTCCCTTCCGAGGACCTGTTACAGACCCCAGGATCCCCGGCTGGGGGCCCCCTGCCGGCTCTGGGAGCTGGGAGGGCAACAGGATCGGTTCGGAGTGCCCCTCCGTGTGTACCGTTTCTCCCAGACCTGGCTCCACCTCGGACGGTTCAGGCGGCTCGTTAGCGAGCTCTGGTCTAGGAAGGGGCCAGGTGCAGGAGCGGGGACGGCTCTGGGGTTCGAAGTCGGGATCGAGGTCTATGATCGCGGCAGCCTCTGTGGCTGATTTCGTATTGCCTGGATCCATACGTGGAGCTGGACCTCTGCAGTTGGGCGTTCAGAGGAGTCTGCCACAGTCCCTCACCATGCCTCCCCTCACGGGGGAAGCACCGAGGGTCAGAAGGCACATTCCCCTCTAGTCCTCAAAGTCAAGAACTTCTCTCTAGAGCCAAGACGCTAGCCCCCAAACTGTGTCTTTCACACAGTTCTCTGATCCCTTTCCCGACTGCAGCTTGCAGCCTCTAAGCTCTTCCTCGACACACCACCTGTAACCTCCACCTAGCGAAGACACTTTCTGCAACCTCTCACTCAGCTTCCTGCTCTTTTAAACCTGAGGCACGGTATCCCCTCATACATTGCGCTCCCATCACCGAACGTCTTTTCAGCCGCAGTTCCCACCCCCTTTAAGTTGCTGCCCCCCGGACACTCCTCCCAAATTTCCTCCACCCGGATCACTGCCCTCCCCCACGCCCCGCTCCCCCGCGTCACTCGCCCCTCCCCTGACTCTCCCTCCCCCCTCCTCTTCCTTTCTCGTCCCGCGTAACAGGGTCAAGGTTCTCGCGCTCCCAGCCTCCCTGATTCCCGCACCGAAGCCCCTATCCGACCCCCCCCACCCCCCGCCCCCCGGGTTTCCCTTTTGTTTTGCTCCAAGCAGCAGCCCCCGCCTGACGTCTCTGTTTACCACTCGCTGGGGCAGCCATCTGCGCACGCGCCTAGAGAGCCAGTTGGGAAACCGAGTTCTTCAGTCGTGCCACTCTGGTCCGTCTTGAAGACTACATCTCCCGTCCTACCTCACGACCAGGAGTCCAAGACCAGCGGCTGGAGACGGCGTGGCAGGATATGGGGAGGTGGAACTTTAATTATTAGAGGTCGTCGCGGACTATTTTTTCTTTTGTTAAAAATCATTTTTTACCCACCTCTCTTTCCACCCACTCCCTTATGATTCTGGATCACCTAGGACATTGTGTTGACAGATTCCAGACCTTTCCCTCCCTTTGGTTAAGAAAGCAAAAAGAAAAGAAAACATGTTGTCCTTACAAAAAGCAGAAGCCTAGAGGCAAGAAGCAAGGAATTAACTGGAAACTAGAAACTGCACGTTTGGGAGGTGGATGTGGGTGCTGGTGCGTTGGATGTGGGCGCTGGTGCAATATAAACCAAGCTTTGTTGATGGAGGTAGTCCCCCCACCCCCACACTCGACCCCTCTGACCCCTCTTCGCTCTCCACGTGAGCCGATCTCTTCGTCTCTCACTTAGTTTCCCTCACCAAATGTACTGACCTCTCCTTAAATACTGATATTCTCCCTGTTCCTATCCTCAAACGGCTTCACTTCTCATTCAACAGGTCCCCAACTGAACTTTTTATCAGTTTCTGCACCCACACTCCTTTCCTTTTGCTACTTTTAATCTATGAATTTAGTTAATGCTTTTCCTGGTCTCGAGAGATGCCCTTAACCTTCACCACTCTTTTCTCCTAACTTGCTATACTTCCAAAATCCAGTTGAAGACATTGCTTATAAATGGGTTTAAATAGCTATTTATTTATTTATTTTCTGTGTCGGTACTGGGGCTTGCATTCTGCCTGGCTAGTCTTTTCGGGACTTATTTCTGGTCATCTACCAGTTGAGCCACACCTCCAATCCACAATATATCTTAATTCTACCTTCTGCCATCAATCTTTTCCCCACTACAGTTTATATTCCATGCTGCCAACAAAGCTACCTTTCTAAGAAACACACCTACTAATTACAGCTAAATTTATGGAGCTCCTATTGTATGTCAGTCAATGTGCTAATTATTTTGCCTGTATTAACTCATTTATTTCTTACCTCAAATCTGAAGGTAGTTACCACTATACTGGCTTTTTTTTTGTTGGCTTGAACTCTGGGCCTGGACACTGTCTCTCAGCTCTTCAGCTCAAGGCTACCGGTGCTTGATCCACAGTGCCACTTCTGGCTTTTTCTGTTTATGTGGTGCTGAGGAATCAAACCCAGGGCCTCTACTGGCATTTTTATGGATGAATAATCTAAACATATTCAGAGATCAAGCAACAGGAGAACTGGGAACTGTCACATGTGGTCATTTAATTTCCCTGTTCTGATTTCGCCCATTGCCTATGTGATGAAATTCAGGCAAACGTGGGTGCTTGCTACTGGCTAATGCCTGTAATCCTAGCTACTCAGGAAGCGAGATATGAGGATCATGGATTAAAGCCCATCTGGGCAGGCAAATCTGAGATACTCTTATCTCCAGTTTAACACACACACACACACACACACACACACACACACACACAGCTGGAAGTGAAGCTGTGGTTCAACTGGTATGGGGCCAGACTTGATTTAAAAAAAAAAGGCTAAGGGACATTGCCTATGCCTGGTCTTGAGTTCAAAGCCCAGTATGGCCCCAAACCCCCCACAAGCCAGGTGATAGTGACTCACACATGTAACCCTACTCCAGAGGTGATATCTGAAGATTGCAGTTTGAAGCCAGCCCAGGCAGGAAAGTCCATGAGATTTTTATTTCCACTAAACTACCAAAAAGTGGAGCCATAGTTCAATTGGTAGAACTAGATTTGAGCCAAAAGAGCTCAGCAACAGTGCCCAAGCCCTGAGTCCAAGCCCCAGAACCAACACACACACACACACACACACACACACACACACACACACCCCTACACACACAAATCCCTGCACAAAGCCAACCAATCAGACAACCAAACAAACAAATCCTAATAACTCCCTGACAAAACTGTTCAGCTTCATGTCACTTTACACTTTTCCCTTTTCACCTTTCCCTGATACACTATATTCTAAGTAGTCATTGTTTCCTATGTTCTCCTCCCCCCACCCCAAAACACCACGCCCTTTTAGTAGCTTTTTCTCTGCTTCATGAGATGCCATAGCTCTTGTCATCCCCTCCTCAAATCTCTTATTTTGAAAAACTCCCATTTAGTGTTCCCTGTTTCCCTTAGTTACAGTCAGATGTCCCTTTTCCAATGTGCCTCAGGCAGGCTCATGTTAGATAGCTGCATACCATATTTGTTTACTTGTCTGTCTCTCCCAGCAAAATGAGAGCTCCTTGAGGGAAGAGACAAGTTTTATGTATTTCTGTGACCTCTGCTCTTGGTCTCATAATACACAGGAAATGCTGGTTGAATGAATGAATGAATGGTTATTACACTCACATAACCTTTTTTGTGCCACTCCTCAGCCTTGAACTCAAGGCCTGGGTGCTATCCCCAATCTTCTTTTGTTCAAGGCTAGTGGTCTACCACTTGAGTCACAGCTCCATTTCTGGCTTTTTTTGGTAGTCTACTGGAGATAAAGTCTCTCAGAATGTCCTTACCAGACTGCCTTTGAACCACAGTCCTCAGATCTCAGCCTTTTGAGTAGCTAAGGATTAGGTGTGAGTTGCTGGTGCCCACCTTCATTGAACAACTTTTAAATAAATGCTGCTCTACTTGGTGTTTTCTTGCTAGACAACAAACTTCTGGAGCAAGTTTGTCTATCATTTGAAATATTGCTTGGCACTTGTTCTGTGGAAAGACATCCATGAAACCAGGATTTAAATAAAGCACATTGAGATTTAAAATGATACTGAACTGCTCATTAAAAATAACCATCTTGATTTTCCATAGTCTTTGTCCTTTGACTCCGATATGGCAATTTTCCTTTAATGTCCACCTATATGATGTTCAGAAGATCATATACAACTCTATCTGAACTCCAGGTTAGAGAGATGGGACATGGTTGTTTTCAATGCCTGTAAACATCTGCATATACTCTTTCCTATTGCAGCCCAGCCTAGAGCACCCGCTAAGTGCTCCATGAGTGGTGAATTTGGTAGAGGAGAGAGTCTGGTGGGCACTAAGTACCAAAGAGCTCTATTCTAATTGAAACAGGTGTGGTGGCAGATCGTATACAGTTGCTGAGACAGGAGAAATGATAGGGTGGGGCAGGCACCTGTCCTAGCTTGAGTTATAGCTTGTATTGTCACCCTTTGTGCTTTTGTTTGAAAAGACCCACCTCTCCACTAACTCACGTCCATCATCTCCTTAAATTTCTAATTCAAAGCTCAAAATCTGTGTATTCTTGGAAAATTTCCTGACTAGCCTAACCTGAAGGATCACTATGCCCTTTGCACCTCCTGAACCTCTATGAACTTGGTTTTTATTCTTTAATTTTGTGCTTATGCTTGCATGGCTTTTCATTTCATAAAGGCATGTTTTCTCCCCTACTGGATTACAAACTCTGTCATCAATCAACAGATGTTTGTGGAGACTTCATAAGATAAATGTATATTTTGAAACCTTGGACGGATAAAAATGATCATACACCAGGAGACCAGATGTTTAAGTAATAGTGAGCAACACCACTGGTGGGAGAAAAAAAAAGAAAACAGAACCCATGATGTAAAAAGCTAGAAAGGTCAAGATAATTCACCTCATTTCTGTAGGAATGTTAGAATATATATCAGTCAAGAAGCATAGTCAGCCTCACACCTGTAAATCTAGCTATTCAAGAGGCTGAGATCTGAGGATTGTGGGTCAAAGCCAGACTTGGCAGAAAAGTCTACCAGACTCTTATTGCCAATTAACCACCAAAACGTTGGAAGTGAAGCTGTGGCTCATTGGTAGAGTACCAGTCTGAGAAATAAAGTTAAGGGGGACAAGCCACAGTGCTTGCATTAAAAAATAAAATAACCCCCCCCCCAAAAAAAATAAAAAGAAGCAGAGTCAGCAATGTGTCCTTGACTTTGGAAATTAGAAGTGATATTGATCAGGAAGGAGGAGGACTAAGAGATAGTCCATAGAAAAGCACTTTTGTTATAAGCGGTGAACAGATATGGCAGGATATGGGAGGTGTAGGCTTTTCTCCCAGTTGAAATCCCAGAGTTTATATGGTCAAATGGCACCCCACTCACCACTTGATTTTTTGCCTTTTGAAGTCCATAGGGGCTTGATTCTCTTGCCTCTTTCACTGTCACCACCCACTCTTCTACACAGTGCCACCCCCTACTTGTGCCTGCTGACAAACCAGCTCTATTAATTTGAATTACATAGATACTTCCCTACTTCTTTGTTACTCTGCCCAGCTCTGAAGAAATGTATAACCTCCACCTAGGGTTTTCATAGTATTTCTTTGTTTGGTGTCAGTAGTGGGACTTGAACTCAGAGCCTGGGCACTGTCCCCGAGCTGTTTTGCTCAAGGCTATCCCTCACTCTACCAATTGAGCCACCAGTTCCACTTCTGGCTTTTTTCTGTGAGATTAATTGGAGATAAGAGTTCCACAGACTTTCCTGCCCTGACTAGCTTAAACTGCAATCCTCAGATTTCAGCCTCCTGAGTAGCTAGGATTACAGGAATGAGCCACGGGTACATAGCTAGCATCTATATTTTTTCTACCCTTTTAT